ACATGCTATCGTATGACTTTTTAGGGTCCGAGCACACCAATTTGGAAAGGGGATTCATCAGAGAAAATGACTTTACTTAAGTCCTCAGCAGTCCAGTCCCTGTATCTTCTGCAGAACATCAGTCTGTCCCTGATGTTTTTCTCTGAAGAGAAGTGGCTTCATTGCTGCCCTTCTTGACACCAGGCCTTCTTCCAAAAGTCTTCACCTCATTGTGCATGCAGATGCACTCACACCTGCCTGCTGCCATTCCTGAGCAAGCTCTGCCCTGGTGGTGGCCCGATCCCGCAGCTGAAACAACTTTAGGAGACGGTCCTGGTACTTGCTGGACTTTCTTGGGCGCCTTGGAGCTTTGTTTGCAACAGCTGAACCTCTCTCCTTGAAGTTCTTGATGATCCGATAGATGGTTGACTGAGGTGCAATCTTGCTAGCTGCAATATCCTTCCCTGTTAAGCCCTTTTTGTGCAACGTAGTAATGACTGCACGTGTTTCCTTGCAGGTAACCACGTTTAACAGAAGAGGAACAATGATGTCAAACACCGTCCTCCTTTTAAACATCCAGTCTGTTATGAAACTCAGTCAGCATGACAGATTGATCTCCAGGCTTGTCCTCATCAACATTCACACCGTGTTACGGGGAGAATCACTGAAATGATGTTAGCTGGCACGGCTGAAATGCAGTGGAGATGTCTCTTTCGGGATTAAGTTCATTTTCAAGGCAAAGAGGGACTTTGCAATTAATTGCAGTTGATAAAAACTGAAGCAGCAGACTTTGTGAAAATTAATATTTGTGTCATTCTCAAAACTTTTGGCCATGACTGTATACTTCATCCTCACTAGGGTTATGGGGGGCTGGAGTCTATCCCAGCTGACTCAGGGTGAAGGCAGGGGACACCCTGGACAGGTCACCAGTCTATCACAGGGCTACACTTAGAGACAGACAACCAAGCACACTCACATTCACACCTACGGACAATTTAGAATCACCAATTAACCTCAACATGTTTTTGGACTGTGTGGGAGGAAGCCGGAGAACCCGGAGAGAACCCACGCTGCACGGGGAGAACATGCAAAGTCCACACAGAAAGATCAGAGGCGTCCTAACCAGGACACAAACCGGCGATCTTCTAGCTGTGAGGCATAAGGCTTACCACTGAGCCACCGTGCAGCCCTAAGTTGGAACAAAGACTTTTATTTTTTTTTAACACCACACTGACCTTTCACTGTGACTTGTTTAAACTCAGTTTGTTCTGCCTTTTCTGGCTCTGCATTTATCACCATGTGTTGAGGTGAAACCGAGCAGCAGAGGAAGCTTGTAAAACTAAAACAAGCCACAAAGACGCCTGGCAAGGGTGGGGACTTTCGGTCAATTTGTTTTTTCAGAGTGTGACCTCATGCTTAACTCGCATTAGGAAACTAACAAGATGGATGGCATTTTGCTGATCTGTGGTTTTGGTATGTTCACATGTGTGAAAACGTGTATCTAACTAGGGTGAAACCACACAAACCACATCTGCGTTGCGAAAGTTGAGGATAGCTACTCCTTCCCGCCAGAAGTAGCTGAAAAGAACAAGAAACTAAATTAATTCTTCATTTGTTGAAGTTTCAAAGCAGTAAATGCACTTACACCTTGCACAATTAAAGCTTTGATACACAGCAGATTAAAAGAAGGAAGTTCAGCATCTGATAGGGGAAGCGGATGAGTGCCTTCATTTCAGTAACAGCTCCAGGATTCAAACTGAGGCTACATGTGCACTCATACAGTGAAGCAGCGTAGATGTGTGCATGCAAAGTGCACGGATGGTCCTCAGAGTCTGCTGTGACCACATCACCTACAATAGAGATCAGGAAAATACCAGAGGTAAGAAGAACTAACATCTGCCTCCGTTCTGGTCTGTGATCTGACACAAACCTTTCTGACTTTGGTATTTTTGCTTCTTAACCACATCTGTGTCCTTAACTGTCTGCCTTAAGCTTCGGTTCAGTTGCTGAGGAACTCTGTGACGTAACAAACGGTAGAAAAACACTCACATGCGAGAGGGTAGAGCTTCCTCTTCCTCTCATCAGCCTACCTTAAGAAACCGAAGCCAGTCGAGTCTGAGAACAGCCCACATGAGACGCCGCGACCTCATGCAGCGACACATCACTGGTGGGGTTAATGCTGACTGCACATGCACGCACTCACAGGTTGTTGAGGGGGTTTTTTGTTGTTGTTTTTTTTAGCTACAGACGTGCGCCAATAAGAGTTTGTCTGCTGAGGAGGAGAGTTTGAAGCTGCTGGAGTATGAGATCACCGGTGGTCACTCCTGGCTCTGACCTTTCACCTCCGTCCAGGCCGGCGATTTAAGGAGAAGAAACGGAAACAAAAGGTAACGATAGAGAGGACTTGTAGATACTGCGAGGCTGTTATGCAGCTGTGCCTTTGCGGTGAAAGTCATGCGTCAAATCTTGCTGATGTGCGTTTTGTTTTTCGACTTTCCACTAAGCGTTCAGTTACACATGATCGTGCCCGAACCACAAGTTTTAAGTTGAGTTAAAGAGGTTTTGGGTTTTTCGTTTCTATTGGTCATTTCAGATAAATCCCATCATGGAGCAATTTTTCGATTAAAATGCTTTGAAATGTTGATTTGATTTACAGTCTAAGAAGCTGTTTGTTTCAAAGTGGCACATACAAGTGAACATTTTTATCTAAATGCTGCATATATTCGTCTTAAATTCAAGTCTTAGGGCAGATTAAGTCTTAACGGTGCAGATAATGTGAAGGAGTGTGTCGGCTGATTGTGGTGCTCTGAGAGCCTCGATGGTCGACAGATTCAAGAGTCAAAACAGGTCAAAAGTCCAGCAGAGCAGTAAAACAAACTGTCAGTCTTTCTCTTCCCCTTGTGGGGTACACATAGGAAGGGCGTGGACTCGTCTTGATGCGAGATGGAAGGTTGATGCTTTGCTAATAAGCAGAGTAAACACTGTCTTTTTCTTCTTCTTTTTTTTTTGCTCGCATTTCCTGCTGCAATCTATTGCAATGCCTGATATATATATAACGATAGCCATCGCATATTTAAACTCCCTCTTTAATGTGACACCTTACACACCCAAACAAAAGAGCAAAGACTTTTTTTTTTAACCTTAAAAAATGTAAATCTGTGGTTTAACTTATGGGTCATGTAAGTACTGAGAACATATTTTTGTGGCTTTTCAGCTTGCTGAATATTTCCGGCTACATTTTGCATAAATGTGACTTTGATGCTTAATTTAGCACCGAAAGGTCTCGTAGGGCATCTAATAAGGCACTAATAATAACCTAATCATAAGGTAGTGAGTTGCAGCTGATGCCTTTATTGTAATTAATAAATCATTTTGCTGTAACCCGTTAGAACAAACTCCCTTTGGGTTGCCAGGTTGTAAAAAAAAAAAAAAGTATGATGATGTTTGTTTTTACACTTTAACTTAACAATTAATCAGGAGAAACACCGCGTTAGACTGTTGTACCAGGAAAAAAGCTGCACCTGGGTCGAAACACATTTGTCCACGAATCCCTATAAATTTGAGGGACTCACAAGAGAATTGAAAAACAACAAAGGAAGCACTTTCTTGACTTTTAGGCTCTACTGGGAGTTAAACGCCAATAACTGGGTGCTGCTTTTCCCATACGGCTAATGACAAACTTAGAGAAATATCCTCCAGAGCAACAGAAAGCATCATTCAAATACAGACGGCTGATAAATTAAAGGGAAAACCTGAACCCCTGGAGCGTTTTGCTGCCCTGGTTTCGGTCCACTTGGGACAAGTGACCGTGAATCAATACAAAACTGTTCTGATTCTGATTTGAGCATAAACATGGTGTAAGTCGTAAGTTGTCGCCTTCACAGTCACCAGATGAAACACTTATGGGAGAGGGAATAGTCTTTGGAAAAATGGTGTTTCATCTCTACAATAGAGTTCCAGAAACTTGTAGAATGAACAGGAGGGAGCACTGAGGCTGTTCTGGTGACAAATGGTCGCCAAACACCTTACCAAGACACTTGATATTGGATTCTTCCATTAATTTGTCACTTGTCTGTATTTTCCCAGCTGATTTCTGTATTTTTTTTTAGATGTATTTTGGATATATTTGTAAATGTATTCTTAGCTGTGGACCTGTGGGCTGATCTAAAGCATGCAAAATACGAAACTCGTGACCTTTTATTTATGAATTCTGACACTTCAGGCGTGAAGGCTTCTTACAAAGGGAGAATCCCCAAAACAAAGCATTCTGTCTGCATTTATAAATGTGAACAAGCTGGTAATCGATGCATTTTAGTGATCAGTGTGCATGCAGCCTGTCACACTGCTCCTGCTCTTTTCTCATTTAGCTTCCTTTTTAATCTACAGTTTGAGTACTTTTTTTGTTAGCAACCTATTTAAGCTGCTCCCTCTCCAACATGTTGCTAGAGAAGCGTTTTGTTCTGTTTTGTCTTTTCATTCAGCCAAGCCATTGCTTTTAAGACAATGTCCCCACTGGGATCAATAAAGCGGTTCTGATTCTGATTGTTTTAGCTGGAGCTGAAAGAACAAAGCATGAGTCAAACTGTTGGCAGATAAACACCTGCCAAAGATGAGAGTGAAAGCTCACGTTTGCCTGTTTTGTAAATGCTTTGCCAACTTCAGTTTCTAATTTTGAAAGTTAGCTTTCAGTTTCAGGGCTACAAGGTGGCTCGGTGGTTAGCGTTGTTGCCTCGCTGCTAGAAGGTCGGTGAGGACGCACAGGATCTTTCTGCGTGGAGTTTGCATGTTCTCCCCGTGCAGCGTGGGTTCTCTCCGGGTTCTCCGGCTTCCTCCCACACAGTCTACAAACATGCTGAGGTTAATTGGTGATTCTAAATTGTCTGTAGGTGTGAATGTGAGTGTGCTTGGTTGTCTGTCTCTGAGTGTAGCCCTGTGATGGACTGGTGACCTGTCCAGGTGCCTTCATCCTGAGTCAGCTGGGATAGGCTCCAGCCCCTCATGACCCTCGTGAGGATTAAGCGGTGTATAGACGATGGATGGATGGAACTTTCAGTTTCACCTTTCAAGCCGACAAAACGCGAAGTCCTTTCCAGTGTTATAATTATATAGCTGCCTCTCAACTATTACGCTGTTTTTGTCGACAGAGGAAGATACAATCGAAAGCCGCCACACAGCACATCCCGTTTTCTGTCTATAAAACGTTATCAACCTTTAAAAGAACACCAGTTACAACCTGTTTTATGAGACATATGCACGTAATACTTCTGCAGCACCACGACGTTAACTCCTGCCTTTTCTCTTTCAGATGGTTTTGGGCGTCTGGGTTGTTCAGTGATGCTTTCGGTGTCTGCGTGAGAGAAATAATGAATCCTCTAAACACATCGCTGGAGCAGCAGCTGCCCAACTCCTCCTCAGGATGCAACCACAACCTAACCAGCTGGAAGGAGACCATGGATAAGATATACACCTACTTCTACCTGCTGCTCTTCATCCCCGGGCTGCTGCTCAACACCACTGCTCTCTGGGTCCTCTGCAGACATATAAGGTACACTGATGCAGAGCTGCACAGCTCACAAGACACGTCTTCACCGCGGTTAACCCATCTGTGTTGTCTGTCAAACAGCAAGAAGACCAAGACGGTGATCTTCATGATAAACCTGGCATTCGCTGATTTGGCCCACATCCTCTCTCTGCCTCTCAGGATTTATTATTACTTCACACACAGCTGGCCGTTTGGACGAGGCGTCTGCTTGTTCTGCTTCTACCTCAAATACCTGAACATGTACGCCGCGATAGTGTTCCTGGTGAGTTTAGTGAAATCTATCCTGGAAGGAGCTGCTCACAAGGGGAAACGAGGGAATTCAAATGAGGCTTCTTCTTTTTTTTTCAGGTGTGCATCAGTCTGCAGAGATGCTTCTTCCTGCTCGACCCATTCGCTGCTCGGCGGTGGAGGCGGCGCTACGACCTGCTCATCAGCATCATAGTGTGGGTGGTGGTTGGTCTGGCCTGCTCGCCTTTTATTCTGATGCGGAGCAGCAGCGGCAGCAGCAGCAGCAGCAGCAGCCTCGTCTCAGCCAGCAACATGTCCTATTCACCGGATGCCATGTCTACCCAGCTACCTTTAGTCTTCACCAAGATCTTCGTGCAACCTTTGACCACGAGTCCTATTAAACTGAGGCCGAGCTCCAGCCCCACTTCTACCAAAATGACCTGCTTTAAAGACCTGCCCACGCGTCACCTGCCTCTCCCTCAGGCCATCGCCATCATATCATTTGGCGAGCTGTTTGGTTTCCTGATTCCTTTGGCCTGCATCTTCTACAGCTCCATCCGCATCGCCCGATCCCTCAAACTGAGGCAGAACCCGGATCAGCAGAACTCCGTCAACCCCACGGCGCACACCCGACTCCAGTCAGTCACCTCCAACGGCCAGTCAGATAGATACCAAGAAAACCAGGCGAGCAGCGAGAAGCGGCGAGCCCTGAGGATGGTGCTGAGCTGCTCGGGCCTCTTCCTGTTCTGCTTCGCCCCGTACCACCTCAACTTTGTGCTCTACATGATGGTGGAGCAGGGCATCGTGTCGCACTGCGCCACCAGGCTGGCCGTGCAGCAGTTTCACCCCGTGTCCCTGTGCCTGGCGAGCCTGAGCTGCTGCCTCAATCCTCTGCTCTATTACTTCCTGACGGCCGAATTCAGGATGCACCTCAGGAGAACCTCCTCCTTCACCTCCTCGCTGCTCTCCTCCCCGATCAGCTCCCCGAAACATAGCTGGCTGCAGCACAGACTGATGAGGGTGGAGAGTAGCTGCTCGGACGGAGTGTAGCATTAACCGTTAGTCCCTTCCCTGGGAACTTAAAAACAGACTGACAAGCTGGGCGAGATTATTTCACATGGTACAGCTGTCTGATTCTAACCAGACAACCTTTGAGCTTAATGTGAAGATCCTGCTTTAGAATAAACAAATCCTGAACTGATGTATGCCTGCATTTCCTGCATTATCGTAATAGCTGCCTAATGCAGGAAGTTGTGTTTATCTGTGCAGTCTTAGTAAAATGCAACAACTTTAAATAAGCTACACCCATAAAAGCTGTGTGTAATTCACTGTAAATAAACGCTGTGTGTCTGTCTCCGTTGCGTATCTGAAGTTACTTCACGATGAGGTTTCCTCTCTGTGACAGGCAGCAAAAATGAAAACAGGTGCCAGCTCAGTTGTTTTTGCACTACTTCCTCTTAAAATGCAAAGTGGTGAAGACAGTTGGCAGCAGCTCTGAAAACCAGTAACTGCCAGGCTCTGAGGTTGGCTCTCAAACTGAAACAGCTCCCACCACCTCCCCAACCTACCAAATATCACATCCGCTATCACCAGTGTGAGCCAGTTCTGACTCGACAGAGCCTCCACAGGCCGACGAGCACAGCCCACCTTAGAAAAAAATACCAGTGTTAGAAAAAAAAAAATCCTGTAATGGTGCAAATCTGGCAGTACGGGTGTCAGAAAAAATACATGAAAAAATTGTGTAACATTCAAAAGCTGTAAAACTGAAAATAGCAGCAAATATCTGTAAAGTAATGATTTTTAAAAATCTGATATAAATACAGTAAAATTATAGAATGTTGTTGTTACACATAATAACTAATAACTATTAGCAAAAATACAGACTCTTGATGTGGACATTATGCACAGTTTAGGCCTGTTTTCTTTTTTCATAGTAAAGATGTAAATTAAAATATTTTTTTCTGTAATTTTACTAGTTATCTGTCATTTAACAATTCATGAAGAATCTAAAAAGGAAAAAAAAAGTTTAACATTTACCTTAATCATTCAGTTTTAGTCTATACTATATATATATATATATATATATATATATATATTTATTATTTCAAATAATAAAAGAATATCTGTAAAATATATTTTTTTTAATTGTGTAATTTTACATTCAAAGTTGTAAAAGAACAAATGATCATTTGTTAAAATAGATTATTGATGTAGATTTTTTCTCTCTTTTTTGTAATCATTTTGGACATTTTTTTTAAACCATTTTTTTCAACTCATGTCGTTTTATTAGCTCGTATTTGTAATTTACTGAAATAGGATAAATCTATGATGATTTACCATTTTTCAATCCATATGGATACATATTTTTGATATAGACACACATTTTTGGTCAGTTTCTTTTTTTTTTTGCAGTTAACATTTAAATTCCTATTTTTTTTCTTGTCCTTATTTGTAATTTTACAAAACAGGGAACATTTGTACATTTTTTTTTGTTTTTTTTACAGTGAAGTTGTCTGATTCATCCACCACAGCGTGCCCACTTCTCATCTGTCTACCGCCACGTTCTGGCATCAAAGTTTGATTGAGTTACACAGAATATTTTTGCTGCCATGAATCCGAAACCAAAAGCAGTTTGGTTCCTGGTCACAGTATTGATGCTCACTTCTGATAATTTTTACCAATATCATGTTTTGATCTGCAAAACAAATGACCAGCAGATAAGACAAGGAAAACACATAGTGGCTGTGAGCATAATAGCAGAAGTCATGGTGTCAAAAATTCTTGTAAACCACACCCCTACACTCACAGGAAGCCCCGGGTGCCGAAATCCCCACTACAGACAGACAGACAGAGGCAGAGAGGCAACAGATATGTAGATCTAATATAGTGAAAAACAGGAAACGGCATTAGAGAAGCGACAGATAGAAGGATAAGACAGAGGAAGAGATAAAGTGAGTGAAAAAAGTGAGGGACCGAGGAGGTGAGGACAAGAAGAGAAGGGGTGGGGGTTGAATGTGCCGGCTGATGCTTCAACCTTCTGCTTTTTTGATGCTACAACGGCGCGAAGACGGAGGTGAGACAATGACCTTCAATGCTACGACAGAAATACAGCGAGCTTTTGTGTAACAGCTGGATGCCTTCAGCGTGGAGTCATGCCTCGTGGGGGATCTCGTGTGTTTCTCCAATGTGAGGAATGCCTGTAATGTCGAGGCTGTGTGCGTGTAGGGCCCCCGTCCGGGTGTCCATGTCCGTGTATTTTGTGGAGATGTTTTGAGGGAACCCGGTAGTTCGTCGTTAAGTTTTTTTGGGTGCTGATGCATGAGGCCAGATGTCATGTCTGAGTGGAAAAGCTGTAACGCGCCTACAACCCACGGAGGGATGAATCACGGCAGATAGAACGATGTGTTTCCATCGGCGAGCTCTGAGGACTAGATGTGCTAAATCCTGAAGCAGGGGTGCAGCTATTATCTGAGCTAGAGGATTTGAATTGATCACTCTTTATACCTCAAACTCCAGCCTGAACTCTTCCAATTTTCGTTACATATCTAAATACCAACTCGATCTACTAACATGTTTCTGTTGCTGGACATCAGATGGGCTTGTGTTGATGGTGTACATGTTGATCTAGTGTCACCAACCACAAGGAGGAAATGAGAGCTAAGCGCCGCATGGTCATCGCTTTAGTATCGCATAGACAGCTTCTGTTGTGGTACGTGATACGTGCAAAAGTATGAGTAAGAGGAGAGGAGGCTCATTAAAACAGTATCGCATGGGTCAGCGGTCAATGGAGCTAAAAGCAAGCCTGGGGACTCAGAGTCTACTGGGAACTGTGGAGGATTAAAGGCTGTCAGGGAGCTGTGTAGGAGTCCAAACACAACAAAATTCCCTCTTCACTTCCAAAATTCCACGGCTCGTTGATGGGGGACTGCGCTTCAGTGCAAGTATTCAGCGCTGCATTTCCATACTTCTACTACTTCATACATTTATCCGTCTGCATACAAACATCGGAGTTTATGTTCCTAAGAGGTTCAGTAAACAAAAACAGGGCTTGTCTTGTAGGTTCCTGAAGACGTTGCTTTTCACTGAAGCGCTCAGTGTTTCCATCACCTGGATGTATCTACACACATATTGTAGTTTATGGTCCGTTACGCTTTCAATGCATTGTTAAAGTTATCCACAACCTTCTCAGGGCCCGTGTCAAGGTGTTGCAGAGAGTCAAATTCTATTTTTTACTTCTTTAAAATGTCCATATGGTGTTTTTACTTCATGCTGGAAGAGCTAAACAAGCAGTCAACACCATGTGAGTATTTCCAGCTGCACTATATTGATGACAATCTCAAAAACACAGATGCAGACTTCCGGTTTTTCATACATAACAAACCCAAAGAAACAATGCTACTAACGAGCTGTCTGTGTCGTTATTCCTCTTTAGACTCGCTTTTAGGTTGGAACACGTGCGGCTGAATTACTCTCATGTTACAACTTGCCATTGTGTAGCGTAGAGATGCTTTTCAGTGTTTGAGCAGAGCTGCAGGTGAGCTGGTGTGCTCGAGCTGCAGCGAGCGAGAAGGGCTGGATGCAAAGAGGTGTGGGAAGATCTGGGGGAAGAAATGGTTCCTGATGCACATCTAAGCTATTTCAAGGCAGAGAAGGGATTATTTTTCATGGGGAAACTTCTAAATGTGTAACTTTGATACACAGCGAAGAGTTTTTAGGGGTTTTTATTAACAACCAAGGACGGATTTTAAAAAGTGCTGCCTATAAAAAGGAATTTCCCCTTTAGACTTCTCAGTTTAAATGACCATTCAAGGCTCAAAGTGGTAAATTTGTCCTAGTTTTACTAGATTTTATTACATTAATTGGACCTTCTATTGGTTGCATGTTGCTGGTGTTGGGTCGATTGACTTTTGCCATCAGAACTGCCCAAATTCTTCATGGTCCTTATTCAACAGGGTGCTGGAAATCTTCCCGTGAGATTTGGGCACATATTGACGTGATAGCTTCACACAGCTGCTGCAGATCAGTTGGCAGCACCTTCATAAACTGAAACTCAAGTTCTACCACATCCCAAAGGTTCTCTATTGGTTTGAGTTCTACCAGGTGGAGGCCATTCGAGTGACCTCCAGGAACCGGTCTGACATATGAGCTTCGTTATTGCGGTGAAATTACAGATTATAGAAAGGATTGAACATGTTCAACAACAGTAGGCTGCGGTGTCTAAAAGCTCTTTAGTTGGTACTAGAGGGCCCAACGGGAGCCAAGACAATATCTCACGCACCAGTACACCACCACAACAACCTTAAAGTGCTGATAGCAGGTAAATGGATCCATGCTTTCATGCCATTTATCCTATAATCGGAAGGAATCAAGACACATTAGACCAGACAACCTTTTTCCAATCATCTAATTGCGGTGAGCCCGTTTCTACTGTATCTTCACGTTCCAGTTCTTAGCTAATAGGTCTGACACCCCCTGTTGTCTGTAAACCACAGAAATAAGTGATAATCCCAATACATCCACTGCCTCCGAAACACTCGAACCAGCCTGTCAGGCACCAACAACACATTCAGAATCATTCTGACGGTTGGTTTAAACATCCTCTCGACTGTGTCTAGAGGCCTAAATGCATTCAGAGCTTCTGCCACGTGATTCAACAAGCAGCTAAATGTCTAAGTGCATGTAGCAGAGATTTGTTTATTTCTTCCTTCCACCCCATTGATCAGCTCGAGCTTCCTCAAATTTAGCTTTGAAGGAGGCCGACTGCAAGGATGGGACACACTTCACGAACCGTCCGAACTTTTTACCTAAAGCAGTCCCATCCACAGCAGTATGATGTTATCTAAGTGGAACCGTGCATCAGTGCTAATCAGCGTCAGTCTATAGATTCACTATGTTTAGCTTCATATTTACATGTTGCTGCCACTACTTCAGTAATTTATTTATAATTCGGTATTTTTACACTGTTGTACATCTGTTATCAGCGGGGAAGTTAGTAAAGAGGAGCGAGCACAGGAGGGATGTAAGACGTGAATAACAATCACTAATAATAAAGTAGCACCTTATCTTGAGTATGGTAAAAAGTTATTTTCTTATCCATAACAACATAAACTCATGTTGGGAATACATCCTCAGAAGGCTAAATTAGGTGTTAAACAGTTGTCTTTGTGGCTTGGGAGATTTAAGAGCAGTTTTATTTGGTATCATTGTTCAAGAATTCCATTCTAACCTTTAGCATACTGCATTTTAAATAGTCTGAGAGGAAACTAGACTTCTGGACCTTCTGGCTCGGGCCAAGAGGAGTTGCTGCTTTGCTATAACCTCGGGTGTGGGGCTGGAGAATCTAACCTGTGGCAGGAGATTATAGCCAATCACCGGGCTTGTTTGTTACTGGGTAGGTCAGATAGTGTATAAATAGCAACACAGTCAATGGTGAGAGAAGGATGTGGCGGTTCAGTGGGTTAGAAGGAGAACTTTCATTTAAGAGAGGAAGGTTTGACTCCGGGTTTGAACGTTGACTTTTGAGTGTTCAGAATGTGTTTTTGTTTGTTGTGAGGAGCTTAGAACATAATGGGGAGGGCTGCAGAAGGGGGCTGAATATTTTTTTTTAAATTTGTTTTCGCCTCTTCTAGACTTCTGCCTACTGCAGCTTTAAATGCAACCGTGACTCTCCTGCTAACTCTGCAGTCAATACCATAGCGTATGGACTATTTCCTCCTTCAAATTGCAGCTTTTGCCTCACTTTACTGAAGCTCCCGGGATTCCCAAGACCTGGGTGAATCTATTGTAGTTTAAGGTCCACTATGCTTTAAGTTGAGATGATAAACTTGCATAAAGCAATATATTGTTTACAGACAGTGGATCACAACCTTTTTAGGGTCCTTGTCAAGGTGTTGAAGCCAAAGTTCTTTTTACTTTGTTAACGTGTCCATATAGAGGGTTTCATATCAGGAGCAAAACAAGCAGTCAACATTATATCTTAGTGTTTCCATCTTGAAACTGCAGTGTGCTGATAACAGCCTCAAAAATACAGATTCAGGCTTGTGGGGTTTCATATCTAACAAACCTAAAGAAACCAATCCTGTCAGCTTGCAAGGTGGGGCTTTGTATCATTAATCAACTTCCGAATCAGTTTCCGGTTCAAACAAGTATGGCTGAAGTATTGCAAAATGCTATTGTGTGGGACAGAGTAGTTTTGCAGTAGTTTGAGCAGAGCTGGTGTGCTCAAGCTGCAGTGAGTGTGAAGTGGTGGGTGGAGGAAGAGGTGGCGTTTTCTAGATCTGTAAATCCAAGAGGAAACAATGTCGTGGAGTTAAATCTAAGTCATTTCAAAGATGAAAAGATGAGTTTTTAGGGGTTACATCAACCACCAGAGAGGGACTTTAAAGGTGTGGAGAAGCCGGTAACGTAATAAATTTGCAGTAGTTTGAGCAGAGCTGGTGTGCTCAAGCTGCAGTAAGTGTGAAGTGGTGGGTGGAGGAAGAGGTGGGCGTTTTATAGATCTGTAAATCCTAGAGGAAACGATGTCGTGGAGTTAAATCTAAGCCATTTCAAAGACGAAAAGACGAGTTTTTAGGGGTTACATCAACCACCAGAGAGGGACTTTAAAGGTATGGAGAAGCCGATAACGTAATAAATTTGCACTTTTTAAAAATGTAATAGGCCAATAACGTAATAACTGGCCAACACCGTCATGAAAGTCTTGAACCGACAATGTAATATCTTTTGGCATGGTAAAAAAAATAAATAAATAAAAAATCTTTGCAAATGTAATAACATAATTATTATATTATATTATATTATTGGCCAAAAGTTATTACGTTATCGGTTCAGGACTTATATTTCGTTATTGGTCTATTACATTTTTTAAAAGTGCAGATTTATTACGTTATCGGCTGTTGTTACATTATTGGCTTCTACGAGGTGTTAATTGGCTGATATAAAGTTTCCACTACCAAGGACCCTTTGGGGTTTCTAAAAAGGTTTCCTAAAAACCAGCAACTCAGTAAAATCAATGTAATCATCAGTTCAGAATCTCATCTGCAACATCACTGTATGTGTGACATACCAGCTAGGATCTGTTTAGTCCGAGCAAATAAAGAGCCAAAAGTGTGTCAAAGATAAACTGAACATTTATAGCTCGACGGTTTATATAAGTCGTGACAACAAGTGAATGAAAACCCACGTTGAACCACCTACTCATGTTTATAGTGGTGGATGCATCACACCTACGAGCTGGAAGTTCAGTTCCACATATTACTGTGTTTCCCTCTGAAGTTAAAGTCAGCACGAGAACTTCATCAGGGTTTAAGGCCACCTTCAAATCTTAAAAAAAAAATCTTCTCGAGCGCAGCCAGAAGTGTCAGAAAAAGTGGTTGCTTTTCTTGTAAATCTACCAGGCGCACATCTCAGCAGAGAAGCCAGGTTTGTCTCGGCCCGACCTGTTAACCATGCTAGTTTCACTGATGCTGAAGGCGTTTCACACACAGGCCTGTCGTCGGCTAAACCCCGCAGCTGGAGACGCTCAGCAGAGAACGCTACGTGGGAGAGTGTAGCATTAACTTCTCTGTGGGTTTGCATATTTACTGTAAAGGCCACTGCAAAAAGCTGTAATCACAAACACTACTTCTAATGTCACGCAGCATTGAACATTGTGCTTGTGTGAAAGCTGTACAGTGTGACACGTGTCGGACGGAGAAAGGCTCTTTTTAAGCACCCGATGGCTATCTGTGCAACATGCAAATCATGCAGCACATACAGGCTGATTTACAGAGCGACACCTATGCGTTTGCAGTAATTTATGCCACCGTGCTCTGGGAAATAGGAAGCCGATTTATTGCAGCCACACACAACGACAGCTCTGTTACGAGAGCAATTAGGAGTGTATACTTCATTTGACCTGCATGTTTGTGGGCTGTGGGAGACTTCTTCCTGTGAGCAGCCAATATTCAGCCTGTTCTTCTTCAACCATAACCCTCTCTCCCCTCTTCTACCAGATTACCATGTTTCTGGGACGAGTAGCAGCTTGAAACACTGACGACTTCGACCTCTCCTCGTCCGGCATGCTGCAGAGAAGGAGCAGCCCTGGCCACGGCATGAACTCCTCAACATAAAGGACAGCATGGAAGCTCAAACCAACCCCACGCTACCCGACTGCACTCGGCTCCCCTGATACGACTTCATCGACGTCAGAGTCCCTCGGCTCGCGGCAAAATGAGCTCTGTTAACCAAAGCTGTGAAAGCAGTGAAAATCTAAGGACGTACCAGCACCATGTGTATGCTGTGGTGTACAGCGTGATCTTGGCGCCGGGCCTGCTGGGTAATGTGCTGGCGCTCTGGGTGTTCCGGGTCTACATCAGAGAAACCAAGAAGGCTGTGGTGTTCATGATGAACCTGGCTGTGGCTGACCTGCTGCAGGTAAAAAAAATCTCTTTAATTGAACCAGTAACCCCAGTGATGAGCATTTATACGTAGTGCTACCTCATTTAAAATACTATAATGTGCAGTATTGTGTTGTAATTTAAACTGTTCCCTACTTGGTTTATGTCTCTTTTCATAGTACTTTTTATTTATGTATCACTTTTATACTTTTCTCTTACATATTTTATTTAGAATTTCTTAGATCTAGAGTTCTATATTTATTCTCGTCTTGTTATTGTTGTGTACCAGTCTCATTCACCACACCAAATTCCTTGTGTGTGCAAGCTCACTATGCAATAAAAACAGCTTCTGATTCTGATGATGTAGTTATATGGTGATAATGTAATGAAATTCTCAACTCAGGGTTCAAGATGATGGCTGAAGTCTGCTCGGTTTACATAGAAAGGGAAGCTTAGGTTGTTATCAATTCAAAAATACTTGAAAAAATGTAATAAATAAAAGTTTAAGTACTTCATTAATGCTTCTAAAATTGTACATGAGCCATTCTAGTTTCGTTTCCAGCTACCAGAAGTGAAAGAAGCACGTAGATCTTGCACTTAAATAAAAATCCTCATAGCACAAAATAGAAATACTCTGCTTTAATTAAGTCTTACACTAAAATGTCTACTGAAAGTGCCATTGAATATACTTAAAGTAGCGAAAACACAAATTCTTATTGTGTAAAATGGCATATTTCACAAGAACATTTGTTTGAATAGAATTAGTGATGCAGTCATGTGTCATCATTTTAATGTAAAAGATGCTAACAGTGGTTTAGTTAATGTAGTTTATGTGCTCTGTAGCTTGTAAATTCCTACTTGAAGTAGATCTATACCTTATTGTAAAGTATTAGTGGATTATACAATGGATTATTGAACTAAATATGCAACAGAACTAAAGCAATTAAATAAACTTGTGACGTAAAAAGTACAAGTGCATGTAACTCAAAATCTGACTTCAGCACTTCAGCAAATGTAGTTTGCACCAGACAACTACAGTAAAGAGTATAAAAATAGGTTATGGCCTATTTATTGGATTTATTATTTATTGACATTGATAATATGCTAGTGTGGAGTCAAAAGAAAGCATTAAATAATACATTTATCTAAAATAAAGATTTAAAAAAAAATGTGGAAAATGCTCCTCATATGTTGACATACTTTTTAAGAAACAGTTCCAACCACAAAGATTCCCATCCAATAATATTAAAAGAAACAACCTGAGTAAAGCAGAAGTGTGAAAATGCCGTCAGCTGAAGCAGAAATGAGACCTGAGCTGTCTGTTACTAAAATACGGCCGTTACGTGGGACGTGATGTGAACAACTTTAAAAATGTGAAACAATCCCTTGAACAATGAATTTCTGAAATTGTTGATGATGTTGTTGTCAAGTGATTGATTTACTAATTGAGAAAAGGATGTGAATTGGCTGCTGAACTGTTCACTGCGACTCCCCTCAGGTTCTCTCTCTGCCTCTGCGGATCTACTACTACCTGAACAACACCTGGCCCTTCGGTCATCCCCTCTGCATGATCTGCTTCTATCTCAAGTACGTCAACATGTACGCCTCCATCTACTTCCTGGTGTGCGTCAGCGTGCGCCGCTGTGAGCTCATCATGCGTCCGCTGATGTACAACTCGTCGAGGCGAAAAGGAGACCTGCTGATATGTGGCCTGGGCTGGCTGCTGGTGTGTCTCTGCTGCCTGCCCTTCCCTCTGCTCAGGAACCCCAGCTCCACAGTGAACTCAAGCCTCTCGGCCTCAGGCGACGCTGAGCCGGTGTGTTTCTCCGAGCTTCCTCTGAGGACTATCAGCCCTCCTGCAGCCTGGGCGCTGCTGATCACGGCGGAGCTGATGGGCTTCGTCGTCCCCCTCATCTTGGTGCTGGCCTGCACATTCATGACCGCCGGGAGCCTCCGGACGCGGACAGTGGGGGCTATTCCTGACAGAGGGGAGAAGCGCAGGGCGTTGCGGATGGTGCTAAGCTGTGCAGTCGTCTTCTTAGTGTGTTTTGTGCCTTACCACATCACCATGCCGCTGGACTTCCTGGCTAAAGCCAACGCTCTGAGCGACTGCGGCCTCAGAGACCTGATCCTGCGGTGTCACCCCGTCACGCTCTGCTTGGCCAGCCTGAACTGTAGCCTGGACCCACTCATGTACTATTTCACAACCGATGAATTCTGGAGGCGATTGAGCAAACCGGAGATACCAGAGAGCATGTCTTTCAACAGGCGGCCGTCCTGCTTATCTGGAGGAGAGGACTTAGAGAATGATTAGTCTCTTGTTGCTTAAAGTTTAATCTGAACCACTAAACCGTCAGATGAAGCACTCCTACAAACAACGGACACACAATTTATACCCAAGCAAGTATGTGAAAATATAGGATTGAATGTCAAAATGTGATTTTTTTTTCTATTTATTTTTCAATAAAATGTTTGTAGTTTCTAAGTTCTCATGGCCTTGGTGAGGATTGAGCCGTTTCTGTTCTACAGGATGAAACTGTCATCGGTGCCCACATCTGTAATAAGCATCAGGAAATAAAAAATACAGGAAAACCACTAAAACAACTCCACTTTTGACCTCAATCGCAGCTCAGGATAAGCTGGCCTGCAGAGGATGATAAAAGACTGAAATAACAACAAAACTGCCAAAATGTTCAGTAGGTAAAGAAATGCAACTTTATTCAACAACAAAGTGAAGTTCAGTTCAGTAGTTGCACACAACAGGTTTGTTTTTTTTTTCCTAATCTTCTAGTATTCGGTTAAAAAGCTAAGACAGAAACCCATCTTCACAAGCAGACTTCCTGTTGATTGTCTTTCTGTGCAGGCATCATGTAGGAAACCACTGAAAATGACTTAGAAGTTATTTGGCAAAAAAAAACGATATCGTTTTTTTTTTTCTTCATATTTTCTTACGGGATTTCAAAAATCAAGGACAACTTTGAAGCAAATCAACAACGGCTCGCGTGGTGTTCATGTGACAATTTTGAACACAGTGTTCTTCAGACACCTAGAGTAACATTTAGAATATTGATCACGGCTGTCTCAGTAAAAGTGAACTCATGTCATGAGAACACAAACTCAAACTAGACAATCAAGTGTTTTCAAGTCAAATTCGGTGAAATTTCCCTTTAGCTTATTCACTCCTGTGGCTCATTCTGCAAGTCACAAATGAGGTTTAGACACAAAAGACAAAAATTGCTCATATGCTGGAATGTTTACCATCAGGTACGAGACCGTCGGTTACACGAAATCATCACACATCGGGACAGCGGAGGCCTCTGGGAGCAGCAGGGCACGCTGGGAAGTATCTACAAAAAGTGGTGACTGGGAGCTCTGGGGTTTGTGCATCTCCGTTATCAGCCGTAAAAGTCAATGGCAAGCATGTGTACAGTACCAGGCGGTTCCATGCTGACTTGTGCTATGATCACGCAAGAACGTATCTTGTCGAAGCTGCTCTATAAACCCTGCAAAGAGCGGTGACGGGAGGCCGACACAAGACGAGTCTGATATGAAGGACTTCTCGGGTTCACTAGAATATTCAGTAGAATGACTAACAATTCTCGTCTGGAGGTGGCTGGATGTTGTAGTACAGTAAACATCAATAAGATCAGTCTGCAGGAAGCTACGGCAACGAAACAATAACCAACATAAATGAAACTTAGTATATGTGAAGTTAGCAGGCTGACTCATCAGTACAAGACTAGCTAGTGAATACTTGAGCAAGAGAGCTATGGCCTATACAGGTTCAGGGATGTACAGCAGAGGAAAGGGGCTGGGAGGGGGGTAGGGGGGGGCTAGGCTTTAACACTGTAACTTAAATTCACTTAACACTAAAGCAGGGAGGCAAAAACTGCAGTTTTATACAAAAGTAACTTTCTGCTGAAAGTTGTTCCCTCCGTCACCCACCACCACCACCACCGACTCTGTCACTCGCTCTCTCTCTCTCTCTCTCTCTCTGACCTATGCTTTCCCATCAAGCCTTGCAGATCTTGGTCTCCGTCACAAACTTGTTCTCAAAGTGATGGATGGTGAAGCATTCCTCTGCAGAGCGCTTCTGGATGCCTCCACCTGATAAGCACAAAGATACGCAAACATTACTCCTAAATGTCCGGCTGACTGCATGTTGGATGCGTTTTTCTTTTTCACGTCAGACTGAAGTTTTAAAGTGCTACGATTTTATTCTTATTTGGTTGTTAGCTGCAGTGCAATTTACACTTATAACAGTTTGGGCATTACTTGATAATGTCTGAACCGAAAACGAGTGATGCACCAGTGCACTGAAGTTACAGAACTACCAGCTGCTCTGTCAGTTTCCACAGTCTGGTCATTTATTTCCATAACTGGACGACACATGGAGGAAAGACAGCTAGCGTTATCTAGCAGCTGTCATTTGTGTCTACAATGTGGGATGAACACACAACAGAGCAGGTGTTGAAATAACATCAGCAAAAAAATAACGTCTGGCTGCACTCAGCGCTAACGGCAAGCTAATCTAACTAGCGTTTACTTTATGAGTCAGACTTAAACATAATGCATGCAGCAGAGTTCCGTTTGTTTGCTTGAAAAAAATACGGGGTGCAATCAAGAAGTTCCACGTGCAACCAGTAACTGTAATGAGTCAGGACTTACTACGAAATGGTTCAATGAACGAAAGTGCTCTGAACTGTGGCCTACTGACACTAAGTTTGTTGACCCCACGAACACACTCCTCACTCACCAGATTCAGCTTCCTGTGACTTGTTTGCATTCCCTAATATGACATTCAAGTTGAAGGGTTTAAGAGATTTAGCACAAAATTGCGAATGGTATTTGATGTGTGAACAGAACAGGACATCCACAGAGTGTTTCAACCATGGCAGGAGCACTGGGAGCACTGGGAGCACTGGGAGCAGTGTACCGCTGCACATGGAGATGACTTCAAAGAAAAATCCAAATACGTTTCTTTGCTTTTAATGAATGTAGTCGAACTTCTTGATTGCACCTTGTACTATTCTCCATTGAAGAGTGGCATCAACTAGACATGCACTAAAGGTATAAAAAAACAACTAACAAACGTGAAACATGCCAGCTTTCATATGTCCAGAACATCTTTACCTGGCAGGGTGGAGCGACGCTGCATTCTGTACGTTTCCTTCCCATCACACAGCCGGCGGATGTAGAAGCCCAGAGGTTTGATATCATCAATGCGCTCCGTCACCACCAGGTCCTCGTGCACCAAATAGCTGCGATAGGAGTCCGACTGAAACAAAGGGAAGACTGATAAGATCGCCACGGTTTGTCTTGAAACCGCTGTCAGTGTTTCTCAAGAGAAAAGCAGATCAGTGAACAAGGCAAACAAAGTGTGGGAAGAACTTCTGTTTTTAATGAATCATTCTTAAACTTCTGCATTGTGCTTCACGGTTTGATGCACGATCATGACATCTGGTAATTGCACCACCGCCCACCAATAATAGCAAACGCTGCGCCATGCTGTGTCACTATGGATAACTGAAATTATCATTCTGGACTAAAACTCTCAGCCTCCGTGCCGCCTTGGGATTGGCTGACCACATTCCACTCTCACCAACTCTCAGAACACAAATCTTATACGAGAACATGAATGTTTACATGAAAAAAATCCAATATTTTTTTTTACAATTAAAAGTACAAATTGTTTTTGCTGGTAAAAGATACTTCTGGAAGGACTTTTTTTATTAGCCCAAACTGTTGCATATAAGTGACACCAAGCAACAGCTGTTTAGAACCGAATCTGTCAACCGGACCACCACATTAGTGTTAGTGGGTATTTAGCAACAACATAAAGGATCCCTTCACTTTTAATGTAGTACCATCAGCAGGTCAAAATTTGGTTTATGTCCTGTTAGCATCTTAGCACTATCACTGTATGCTTGTTTTCAGCATGCTGACGTTAGCATGTACTGTAAATTCCCAGACTATAAGCTGCTACTTTTTTCACAAGCGGTTTAAACAACAATGCGGCTAATTTAAGGATTTTTATGATTTTTATGATTTGCCTCGAGACGAAAGTGACAGTGAGAGCGACAACGAAAGAGAGACTGAGGAAATAATTCTGAGGCTGTTCAATTCCGACACTGAAGAAGACGACTTCAGTGGTTTTAGTGCGCAGGAGGAAGATGAAGATAGCGATCAATGACTTCTCCTGGTAGGATACTGTATATTTTATTTTTCTAGCCAGCCGTGGTACAGGCACAGTTTGGAAAAAAGCATTTATGGTACGTAGTTGTGTATGTTACCGGTATGTATGTAATTAAAAGTTGAAAAAATCTTTCAGTGTAAATATCTCATGCTACAACGTGGACACCTGCGGTTTATAGACAAGTGCGGCCTGTATATGTACAAATTTGTTTTTACATTAGTGGGTGCGGCTTATATTCAGGTGCGCTCAATAGTCTGGAAATTATGGTAACTCACAAGCACCACAATGTGCAAGTAAAGCTTGCTACACACCGATTCTGAGCAGGTTGTGAGTGTGTAGTTTGCTCATGCTAGAAAAGGAAATAAGAATGCAGTATAAATGTTGACATTTTAAAAAAAAATTATATATATATATATATATATATATCGTATGTCGTGCACTTTTATGGTTGTATTTTATGGTGGCTTTGGGAAATGACACAACAAGTCATGAATAAATGTAGGTTAATGAGATGAAGTAAATTGTCCGTAGCTGGGAATTGAACCAGTGACTTCCTACTCAGGACATTTGCACACACACATCCTCTGCAACCTAAGTGTACCGGTGATGTATAAATTTTCAACAACCCAATCAACACATGAGAAAGAAAAGCTGGAACAAATGAACTTGTGGGTGTTGGTGAAACTCTTTATGAAGTTTACAAAACAGCAGCTTTCTTGCTGCTTGTTGCAGTTTGATTCATATCCAGAAACACACCTCACGCATCACTTCCTGTTAGTATAAAACGGTCAAGTATGTTGATATTTGTATATACTAACTGTGAACACAGTACACCAGCAAGTAGTGCATCGTTTGAAACTGGGACACAGCTCTGGCCTTGTTGACTTTATGATTTACGGAAAACTTTATGCAAAACTAAAGCCAGCAGTACATTTAATTTCTGAAACCTTCTTCATGCCACATACCTAAAAGAAAGGAAAGAAAACAAGTCTTTCCAGGTGATTTGTGCGAGAATTTTTTTACTTTACAAATTAAAGACACAACCGATTTGCACAGGATTAAAGCACAGACAATCTCTGGCATTATCATAAATCCCTGGATTGTCCCAGGTGATATTTTGTCCTGAATACAGAGCTTATGTGTGAGCGGGAGTGAGAGTGTCGTGTGTAGCTCTTCTACTGTTTTTCTCTCAGCTGCATCCTCAGATCCTGTTTACACGTCCGTGACACAAGAGCGGTCAGTAACTCACCATCAGCTGTGAGAAGAGGTCGATGAGGTCCTGAGGGGGAAGCACCACCGAGGTGTTCAGAGGAATCACGAAGCAGGTCCTCAGAGTCAGGTCCAGATACGCCGTCAGCTTCTGCTCACAAACACATGACGCCATCAGAAAACTATTTGAAGCACATCAACAGGAGCAAAGTGGGGGTATGAAGTGTCCCTCACCCTGTTGAAGTCGTGGAGGATGTAAGCGGGGTCTCCGGGTCGGAAGCGGGGAGGCGGGACGCTGATGACGGCCATGCTGTCGGAGATCTCCACCTCCTCCTCCACCCGGGGCAGGTAGTACGGCTGGCTCTCTCCTCCGGACGACATGTCGCTGAACTGCATCGCGCCGTGATACAGCCTCTGGAGAGGAATCAGTCAAAAAGAGGGCAAATAATCATCACTCTGATGCACACAAAAGACAAATACAGGCAGAAAAAAAAAAACATTCTAGACGTCTGCAACATTTGGTCAGACACAGAAACAAAACCAAGATATGCAACTGACTTACGTTGTTATTTCAACCAGAGGTGAAGTAATTATACGATTCTGCAACCACAAGTTCCTCAGTTTGCATTAACAAAGATTTGCAGTCAGATGTTTCTCTGCTGTGCCTATCTGATTGCTGTTTAAAGTTTAAACTGCACTAACGTAACGCTGCCAGGGGGAGCCAGAACACATGTTGGCTTTGATTTGTGTGAGATTTTCAGTCATGACATAGAAAGAAGTAGAAGAGCTAATTAGGATTAAAGCAATAACAAAGAGTCTAAAAGGGCAGAACTAATAGTCAACACTCCACTTGGGCTTTTTTGTGTTTTTAGTAATGTGTAAAACTTTTGGAGGTATGGAACGTACATATCGTTTTATTAAAAAAATAAATAAATCCTGTTGTAGCCTACATGTGAGGAAACTGTTGGTATTTAAGGGAGGGATTTCCTGCATAGAGGAATTTTTGGCAGCCCTCCAAAAAGGCATCATCCAGCAGATAAACGATGAAGAACGAGGGGAAAGAAAAATATAACCAGTTATTAGGGCTCCATTTACTCAAGTATGATCTATCTTTTGTTTTATCAAATGGCTAGAAATAAGAGTCACATCAATTCTGAGCAGGAAACGCTAAATAAAAATGAAAACCAAACAGAAATCTCCTCTGCAAAGCCGGATTCGAGGCTGAATTCGAGTTTGACCCGAGGTTATGCGTCGTGTTAACAGTTTACTGAGGCGTTCCCGGCTTGGCCTCATTGGCACAAGGCCCGAGAGGAACCTACAAAACACTGAATGCGGGACCCTCCCACTGACAGCCACAGCAGAATTCAAATAGGTGAAGTCTGCACTTTCTCTGAAGACGGAAGTGAGCGAGAGTCAGCACTCCTGTTTCCCACCGAGACAAAAAGTGTTCTATCAGCAGTCACGACCAGCCTTAATAATTCTTCCTAAACTCACATAACAACCCCTCCCTCCCTCCCCTTCTCTCCCACTGCACGCCTCCGGTCAAAGTGACAGAGGAATTAAAGGACAGCATTTTATTCAGCCATGAAAAAAAGAAATGTGGGAGGACTTGTGGAAGCTCTGCTATCTGAATTTTCTGTGGGAAAGAAATCCTCCTGATTGGAAATTATAGGTGCAAAGATTGCTATGATACGTGCTAATCGCTGCTCTGTACTTTGACATTTCTATTATAGTCACACAGCTTATATTTAACATTATGAGAAAGGTCGGGTGCATCAAACTGGTGTGAGGTGCAGACGAATAATAAATGAGACGGTGTCAGTGTGGATGCAGACGAAAAACACAGGAAGAGAGAGAAAAGGTCGGATCAGGTAACAAAGGTCACAGCTGGAATAAGACCCGGACAGTCAGAGCATCTTCACCACGTTGTTTTCTGACCTGCTGCAGCTCCTTAAATGTGACAAACTATGGCTCTGTGTCCCTTAATTATGAATCTTAAAAGTGCATAATCTGTCATCTCTGAAATCAAAAGTGAAAAGACTAGCGGGTTTGAAAGACGTCACGGTTCAACCATTTATCAAAACCAGAATCTGTAAAAACAGAATCGTTGAATTTTCACCTCTGAGACAGTCCTGCAACTACTCATGTGACAAGGTGTTTCATAAAAGAAAACATCCAAATCTAAGTCTAAAACTGTGAGATTTTATCTAAATCACTTTATTGTGCCCGTCTCATTTTTTAAAAAATCGGACCATTGGAGTGACTACATTCTGTAAAAAGACTACAGGTTCTGGGCACACGAGTGACTCTGCTGCATCCACATGACAGAGTGTTCAAGGACTTTCCAGCTGAACTGCAGCCGTTGTTTACGCAGAGCAGATAAGAAACAAGTACGGAAACAAATTAAAAAAATAAGTAGAAAAAAAAAAATAAGTAGAAGCGTTACTTCATCTCATACCATCAGGGGTCTGCCCATCTTTAATTTGCCTGAACCTTATTTTATTACAAACTATGTTTTTTTTTAAAATGATATCAGTGAAATTTTAGCTCGACTATGAAATACTTGAAAATTTGCCCATCTATCCAATTCAGGACAGTTTGTCGCACATTGAACTATGTTCGAGCAACAATATCTCAGGAACTATTGAAGATAAAGACCCAATTATTTCTCATCATGCCCGTACCACTGATTCAGAAACTGTAAAACTGGACACGTAGATCTAACAGCCTCTGATCATGGTTGAATTTTAATTTGTTTTCTATAAAAACATCAATATTTTGTGCTATGACATTTTTAGGTAACTAGGAGATGGTTTAGCAGAAATTGTTCTAAATACTTGACGATTAAAGATCGACTGACCTCGTAAAACATCTGTAGTGTATCAGGGCTCCACACTAACTTCTCCACTGGTTGCACTGGTGTGACCAACTTTCTGATTTGGTCTCACCTCCCACTTAGTCACAGGCAATCACTTGTTGAACCTATCGACAGATGTTCCCTAAACGGCCCACACTGCAGGCTGTGGTAGCTGCTGCTCGGAGGCCACGGTGTGCTCAGACAGGTGTGTGACCGACAAATACTTTAAAAAGAGTTCAACTGGGGCGTTCTCCTGTCAGATTTGTCTGAGATGAAACCAAGCAATGCAGGTGCGCTCCACATTTAATGAGAAGAGCACATTTTTAACCCTCCCATTATCTTTGAGGTCAATTTGACCCCATTCAATGTTTAACATCTCTACATAAGTGGTTGACAACATTGTTTTTGGCTTCCTATTTAATTCAATTCAATTCAATTTTATTTATATAGCACATGTTTACAATAACACGTCATTTCATAGCGCTTAACAAAGGTCACGTTTCCTAATTTAATGGGGACACATGTTGTAAGCATCAGTGTTGTTTGGGGTAAATTTGACCTCAGGCTGTTTTAGCTGCATAAAACATATACCCACATTGGTTTTGGTTGTTTTGGATGATATTGAGGCCACTAAAACATGCACGTTTCTAATCTTTAAAAAGCTTCAGGGCCCTCACCTAACATTACCAGACCTGTGGCAGTGCGAGAACCACTGATAGGTCACGCGACATGGGGGTGGAGCAAACATATAAAAGCTTGCACAGCAGTATTCGAAGCCATTTCTCTTGGTGCTCCCTCTCAACTAGCATGACTTCTAAGGAGAGGTTTTCTGTCAAAGAGGTGCTGTCACATTGCTTTGACCATGAAAGTGACATAGAGCAGAATGTGTCCGAGACAGAGGATGATGTTGAAGAGGACCCTGATTATGAGGCATCTTCCCCTCAGTGTTGACCCTCCTGTTGCTCTCAACCACTTGAGCAACAGGGTAGACTTAGTGTTGCGAATGTCATCAAAATGCTTCCAGGCCCCAGCAGGTACGCCGCCAGCCATGTCCAGGACATAGAACCGGCATTTTAGCGCTTCACAACACCATCAATCGAAAAAGATAGACCAACTAATTCCATGTTTTCTCCCATGTCCTATGCTTTGATGATGGAGAAACAAGGCAGGGCCGAAGACAGCACGAAAAAGTTAAGAACGGGACGTATGGGGCAAGTGGGTTCAGCGTTTGGTTTATTTGAAGGGCTGTTTAGGGAGTCAACAAACAAACCTGACACATAAACTTGGGGAACAATTTTAATTATGATCATTTTCTGGAGGTTTAAATTGCTGACCCCTAGGATAACAGATGTCAGTAGATTTGACGGTAATAGGAGGGTTAAGTGTAAATACCACAGTCCACCAAAGTTATGAAACTTGCTGCTGTCCACCGCTGCGGTGAACACAGCAGCTGCCTTCACTGGGTTAAAGTGACACCAAAACAGCTTCATCATCGAATGCGAGTAGCTGAAAGTCGCAGTCTGGAGCCCTGGTTATTATATTATTGTTATTGTTATATTACATTTGAATGACACCTGTGTTCATCAGGCTATCTCAGCTTTTGTAAAAGAAACAATCAAAGGCATTTAACTTTCAATTTTTCCTGATTTATGGCACGATAAGTGTGTCATCCTGCTCTGAAGACATTCTGTTCTCTCTACTTCTAGCCACAGTTGTGCTGTTTCCACAGAGATGCAGGATTTTATATTGTAGTATAAAAAAAAATAAATGAGTGATTTAAAATGTGACAGGAGGAAAAAATAAATAATAAAAAAAAGGTCCAGAAACAGCTTGGAGTTCAAAGGGTTAATAACATACAATTCCAATCTGACTCATTTTAATAATATGCAGCATCACAAACAAGCACACATACACACCTTTGGGGTGAAGTATCGATAGAGACAAGCTCCCCCCACGATGAGCCCGCTGAGGATGAAGGCGATGCCCAGCAGGGTGAGCAGACAGCGACCTGTGGAGCCCTCAGTGCCCGCTGGAGCAGAGGCCAGCTCCGGATCCTGGACACACATGCGCTCACATAAATACACACAATACTCCCAGCACTTGTAATAATAATAATAATAATAATAATAATAATAATAATAATAATACAGCTTTGATTCCGCCATCCTATAATCCCTCTCAGTCTTCGTCCTCTGCAGAACAGCTGTGCAGAGGATGGGCGGCCCCGCTGCATCAGGTGCAACATGACTCCATTCATTTTGCACAAAACAAATCACTGCAAACGTATAAAATCGAATTGCACCGACAAGCACACTGCGTAACGACAAAGCTACGACTCTGCACATGGATTAACTCCCGGCTGCCAGTTGAGCGGCCGGTGCAGGCCTGCAACCAGGCTCAAACCGGACACCGCGGCTCGGACGGCGAAGCCTCACCTTCACCGCAGCTGGCACCTCTTTGCCCAGCGCCTTCTGCGCCAGAGCCGAGTTAAAAGCGATCTTCACCATGCTGGAGAGGAAACAGGCAGCTCGGGGGGCTGTTTTTTTTCCTTGCGCAAACAGAAGACGGTGGGAGACGGTCGGTGCTGGACTGCAGGCTCCGTGTGGTCTCCGCAGCTCAGCGCTGTGACGCACTTTGCAACCTCGGCTTTACGCAGCGCTCCCGGTGGCTGGAGGGGATTAAGATGGCAAACAGAAGCTGGAGGATCGGCTCCAACCTCAAGCTACAGACCATACAGACAGATGATGCTCGGCTTAATTTAGATGGCTGTTATTGCTGGTTTGACATTGGCCGCTGAAACCAGTTATTGCCGCCTCGCTTTACACTGAATTCGTGTCGCTGTGGTGCCATCTAGTGGCTGCAGCCGGAAACAGAAATCCTCCCCATCCATCAGGAAAAATCCATTCATTAAATTGAACCTAACACCAGTAGACACAACTATTTACACTTTCAACTTAATTACATTACCAACATTCACTGCGGTACATGACATAAAAAAATGACTCAATCTTGCTCTGACTGCACTGTAATGTAATGAAAATAATATGTTGAGTGTATAATGTGGCTTATTCATCTCTAAATATTCCACTCCTGCATGCTGGCCACTACCTGCCAGTGTGTCTGCCCACTCACACTGACACATACACAGTACACAGCCTTCACTGCGCAGTGTGGAAACACAGAGCGGTGCCAAGGCTATACAGTCCGTCTGACACACATCCTCAGTCCTCTCTGGCCTGTGGTGGTCCTCTGCTTCCTCTGCTTTCGCTCTCCTCCGTTAGGGTATGAGTAAATAAACACTTAACTGCTGCACCGGCGCTCTAATTCCACGCAGCTCGGTGGCATCCCTCCAGCCCTCTGCACTGCAACTGTACCATATGCATCTCACTCGCCTCGCAAACACACACACACACACACAGAGAGAGAGAGAGAGAGAGAGCGAGGCTATGATATTTCCTCAGTTAAACAGACAGATTGGACCGGTAATCACCACTGAAAGGTACATAAACAGAGCAGCTGATTTCTGTACCTAACTCCCCCTCCGCGTGCCCCCTCAACACTGACTCTGCCTGAAAACCCTAAGTGGTCCTGAAGGCTTGTTTATGGGCTCGTCTTACGCTGTGTTTGATCTGAGAGCTTGCCCACACATGCATGCGTGGACACACGCACACACACGCTGCAAGAGAGGGGGAAAGCCAGCATTAGCAGTAATAGCTGAGATGATAAACAAAAGACTTAGATTTAATCCTGAGGGCTTCTCGGCATCTCACACAACAGAGGGAGAGCAGAAAAGAAGGAGAAAAAGAAAAGAAAAGAAACTGCACTCTCCTTCCAGAAGGAAACATGGGATGATTGGGGGGGGGAGTATGGAAGCAGGTGGGGGGTGAAATCCAGTGATTCAGGGAGAGAGTGAAGTGATGACTGGGAACAACACAGAGAGGGAGTTACTGGGAGAGGCAGAGCAATCTGCGGCGTCTGATGCTTGAGTGAGTTTTCCGAGGAGCTGATTAACGGCAGATTAAACCCGCCGTCCGTCCAGTTTACATCTCAAAACTTTCTAACACGCCTGCTAGGTAGGATTTCTGTACCGCTCAAATCGAAAAAAGAAGAAGAAAAAAAACACCCCACAAATGGGCAACCGTGTTTCACAGAGGCAGCGAGCGTCATGGCAGGCGAGCATGATGGAGTTTGAATGCCAATGTTTCCCTGTGGTCTGCAGCAAACGTCCAATAAAAGCAATAAAAATACCCGGGCTACACTCGTGCACATGTATACACAAATGCACGCCCTTCGCCTGCAATGTCAGCAAACTGAGAGTCTGCAGGGGCAAAGCTGGATTCATAAAGTGTGAGAAAAAGAAGCTCTCATGCATGACATCACCCGCTCGCAAGCCAACAAATATGAACACACATGCAGACACACACCTCATAGATTTGTCATCAATTTCAATACCAGACATGTGAAACCACAAGTGACAAATGACTTTGTCCTTTTCGCTGCTCTCAAACCATACATACAGCGCACACACAAACACACACACACACACACACAGGGCCACAGCTGCTATGGTAACAGCTGGCCACAGAGTTGCGTTGAACCAAAAAGTTAGACACTGCTCAGTGCTTCATAACGTCACTGACATGTCTTCATGTGGATCCGCCATAATCACCATGTGCCTCGAGTGGGAGAACATTTAGTGGTCAAACAGAGAGAGAGAGGGCAGATGGAGAAGCAGGGGAGCAGATCTCTTGGGTAAGACCTGTGGTGGAGAGCAATGATGCTGCTTCAAAGCCCCCTTTCAGGTTTCTCCCCCAAAATCAGCGTCCATCACACTCTCATGATCCCTGCCTCGCCACACACACTTTTGGCAGTCACATATGGCTTCGAGACAAGGGTGACAAATGAGTCTTTCCTGCGAGTATCAGCTTCTAAAGCTACCTTCGCTCTCTCAAAGCACTGCCTGTCTTGTGCTCTTCATCCTCTCAGCTTGGCTCACCTCAGGGAAATGTAATAATTTCATGCTGAAGGAGCTGCACTGTTGGGCAGGTTGAGGGGAGGAAAGGGGGGGTAATGTCAGAAACGTCAGAATGCAGATAAGAGTCAGGTTGCACCAGCTATTTATAAGTTTGTTGAAGTCCCTCCTAGGTCGTTGATTCATCTCCTAAAAACGCATCTCTAAGTATTAAAGTATTTAGACATTTGATGATATGCTCTTGGCATGGCTTTGTTTTAAAATTGGAGCTATGCTGTGTTATTTTTGTGAAAGGTAATTCTTAAAGTCCCTCTCTGATCATCGAGGAAAGCCCGAAAAACTTTTCTCTGCGAATCAGAACTACATATGAAGATGTTTTTCCTATGAAAATGATCCCATTTGCTCTCTCTAGATATTCAGATCTATGAAGTCCCTACTTTTGGCTCTATGCACTGCTCTGCACTCGAGCACTCCAGCTTGCCTACAATTCAAATTCTAGAACTAATCGGCAAGTTGTGATAATGGAGTAATTTAGCCACACAAATGGAAACCAATTCTGAAACATAATTCAGAAAGTCTAGAAGTTCACAGGATTGTTTCCTTGAGTCTGAAAGTCTCTGCAGTTTCAAAGTGGAAGTACTCATATTTCACTCGTGACATGTCTCCCAGCATTAAAAAAAACAACATAAGAGTTTTGAAGTTTGTGTGTGAAGTCATTCTTACGTTCTCAGCCACTAGCTTGTTAACTTAAACCATTAACTATTGCATGTCACAAAGAAGTCAATTCAGTGCGCCATAACTATCCAAAATCAACTAGTTATAAAATGTATTTTGCAAACATAGGCATCAGTTTGTCATAGTTAAACATGTATACATTAGAAAGAATGAGTTTTTCATGGTTTCAAAGAGCTGCACAATGAGCTCTGTTTAGCCTAATTATGCTAACCTAGCTTGCATCACTACATTATTCAATAAAATTACGTTCGAATTATAAAAATGTAAGCTATGTTCCATTATTTGGTGAAAAACAATTTTAAAATCCCTCTCTGGTCATTTATTTAACCCATAAAAACTAATTTCTGTGTATGAAAATGGACCTCAGGCGATCAGGCAGCTACCGAGTCAGCTATTCTCAGGACCCCTTTTGCGCGACAACCTTTTTTTTTTTTTTTTTACTTTAGTCCAGCCCACCCACTTAGCCTGCTTTATAACCGAGGCAGCCTTCATCCATCAGCCTCTACAGATATGCAAACCATCTCCTCTTGAGAGACCAGTTTCATGTGGATTTATTCTCACCTTCTGATCCTGATCCTGATCCTGATTTGTGATTTTTTTTTTTTCGGCTAAATCCACATCAGGAATTGTCCGTCCACAACCTGTCCGGGAATAACCAAGATTTAACCACTCTCATCTTGCTCCAGCTCCACGAAGCGACTCCTCCCGACGTCTATCCCGTTTGTTTGTTCCTATATTCTCGCCTTTGAACACCATGGAGTCTCAATTCAAGCCCCGAAATCCGAACTTTCCTCCGCCCCCGTTACCTGCCGCCCAGCTTCCGGGTTTGATGTTTCTGGCTCCGCCCACCACAGTGACGTCGGAGCCGAGCCAAGAGACTGGCAGGTAATGATATCAATCTCGTTAAAATTCTGAATCAGGCTTGGGAGAAAAGGTCTTGTTGGTTCTGTTGACAATACAGTTATTATAATGATCATGATTCAAAGCTGTCATACAATTGCAATGTTGATTTAACTTGACTTTTGAGGCATCAGTCAACATTCTAACATTCAGCTAAACCAGTTGAGTCTAAACATAATCTGGTTTGTTATTTGTTCAACACTTCCACCTCTGGAGTCTAAAAAATGTAATTTCTGCGACCTTGTTTATTTAGGACTTTAAGACCCTTCAGTTTCTAGCTCGCTTAGGAATCCATATAGTGTTATGAAAGTTCATCCAGAAGGCTATTATACACATCTTTCTCTTATACTTACTTTAGTGCAAAGCCAGTTTTCATTTAAGGTCCAGATGTTTTAATCCATACGTAGATACTCTCTTTAAACAATCCTTTGCGTGTTCATCCCTTCATCCCTTCATCCCTTGATGATCTCACTATATCTGACTTCTCTTCAGATAAGCCTGAGCAATCCATTAATGTTAGGTTTTAAAAAAGCTGATTCATTTTATAAAGTTGCAACGATCTTCATTGCCAGCGCTCGTTTACTTTCTGTCCTCATCTCTTGAATGACTCAGTACCTGGAATTGCTAACCAATGCAAGCGGAGACGAGCCTCTGTTCAACACAGACTCTGAGAAGAACATCCCATAATGCTGTGGTCTCTCTCCAAAGATACACAAGCCGTTTCGTCTGGTAGTCTTCTGGAGTGTATGAGAGATTTATCTGTCTGAATACAAAAAAATACTCTTAACTCAAAGCAATACATAGTTCACATAACATCTGTAATAAATCCTCCTTATAACAGGGCTTCATATCCATTCCTTTGTTCATTCTCCATTGGTAGAATATTTCCTTTGTATGAAGTCACTGTAACCGTGTCTTCCAGATATGAATCCGTTAGCATTCAGCAGGCCGCTGATTCTCTGCATTCAGATGAGAAGGTCATGCATCCCTGCAGAGACTGTCCAACGAGCATCACTCGAGTAGAGTCGCCACCAAACACAAATGCATGTCGTTCTGGGGTAAATAGTTGAATCTGACAAAGCGTCCGGTCTGAATTACATATTTAGAGGTTTTCAATAAAAATGAGCCCTTTATTATTTCTTCCTCTAGACTGTGCTGTTCCATGAGGGCTCCGCTTCTCCTTTTCCCTCCATTCTTCACTTTTATTTCTATGCATACACTA